GGGGGGGGGGGCGGGGGCTGAGTATCATCAGATCAAGTAAACTCAGAGTTCATTATCTTAATTTGGGGATATAAATCTCTCCACAGGCAATAAATACGTATTATGAGCTAGTACATTTACAGTATTATAGAATAAAACACCTAATGTCACATGAAGTTGCCTGTATGACCTTGAAAAGACTCTTGCTAATTTCCCCCTTAGATGCATCCAACTATGAATGAATACTAAGGACTGGAAGAAAATATGGAGAAGTGAACACAGCTGCTTCATTAGGCGAGTAGGATAATGCTTGTTTGCTTAGCTTCTATTAGCCTTACATTGTTTGGGCTACGATTCATTGTAAATTCACTATTTCGATAATTACTTTCATCAGCTTCCCTTCAGAGTTCACCCAATTGGTACGAATGTGGAATTTTCTACAACCTTGCTACTTAATTGTGATACACTGACCAACAATATTCACGTCACCTGGGAGCTTGTTAGAACTGCAGAGTCTCAGGCCCCGCCTCTGACCTACTGGATCAGCATGTGTATCCTCAGGGAATGCCTGTGTACATTTAAGTTTCAGAAGCCCTGGGTCAACAAGACCTAAAGAAGTGGCTCTCAAGGGGTAATGAATGCAAAGAACAACTTTGCCCCCAGGGCACATTTGACAATGTGGGGAGACATTTTTCAGTGGGTGCTACTGGCATCTCATGGCTAGAGACCAGTATGCTACTAAACATCCTACAAGGCACAGGACACCCCCTCTCTGACAACAAAGAATTACCCAGTACAAAATTTCAGAGGTTGAGAAACCCCGACCTAAAGGAAAGAGTTTTGCCTAATTCCATATAGTTTACTGTAAAATAACAATAAAACCAGATTAAAAAAAAAAAAACTAAAAGTTCATATTGTCTTTTTTGTCAGAATTCAAATATTCATATTTAACTCCTATTTTTATTAGTAAAAGGCTATATTTTATAATCACACTTTGAAAGAAAAGAGTATGAGGTCACCGAATTAAATACTATAGGAAGAGCCGGGCATGGTGACTCACGACTGTAATCCCAGCACTTTGCCAGGCCAAGTCGGGCAGATCACTTGAGGCCAGAAGTTCAAGTCTAGCCTGGCCAACATGGCCCCATCTCTACCAAAAAAAAAATAATAATAAAAAAAATAAAATAAAATACTATAATTAGCCAGGCATGGTGGCACACGCCCGTAATCTCAGCTACTTAGGAGGCTGAGGCATGAGAACTGCTCGGACCCAGGAGGCAGAGGTTGCAGTGAGCTACGCCATGTCACTGCACTCCAGCCTGGGTAACAGAGTAAGGCCCTGCCTCAGTAAAAATAATAAACAAACAAACACAGTAGGAGAAACAATAGGTTTCCTCAAAATGAGAACAAAACATCTAAATTCATATTTTTTTCATCATAGAACAGAAAAGGATAATTTTAAATAATCCTATCACATTGTAATTACAAAACTATACCCAGGCCAGGCACAGTGGCTCATGCCTGTAATCCCAACAGTTTGGAAGGCAGAGGCAGGCAGATCACCTGAGATTAGGAGGTCGGGACCAGCTTGGCCAACATGGAGAAACCCCTGTCTCTACTAAAAATACAAAAATTAGCCAGGCAGGGTGGTGGCATGTCTGTGATCCCAGCTACTCAGGAGGCTGAGGCAAAAGAATCACTTGAACCCAGGAGATGGAGGCTGCAGTGAGCCGAAATCAGGCCACTGCACACCAGCCTGGGCAACAGAGCGAGACTCTGTCTCCTCCCTACCAAAAAAACTACACCCATGCTGTTCTGTGGAACAGATTTCTAAAGAAACAAATTCTAAACTTCTTTCAAAAACAATTCCAATATTTAACACCTCTAACTGTCGACATGCTTATTTAATATTGAACGTAAACTATCATCTGAGAACTTAATTCTAATGCTTTGGGAAGAAAAATAATGCTATTAGAAAAAAAAATGTTCTGTACTGAAATTACTGAACTAAAACTTCATATCCTAATTATAAAAATTTACTTGCTAGATCTAATTTGTAGATTATAGGTTGAAAAAGAAAGCTATTCTAAAACTGACTGAAAAACCCTAGCGTTCAACCCAGACTCCAATTAATAAATGCAGGAAATACACAGACAAATGAAATCGTATCTTCCAGTTGCTTAAAGTCTAGTTCATAGAGCATATTTACTATTTCTAGGAAATCAAAATAATTGCAAATTAATTGTGTATAAATTTTATCTAGGGACATATACATAACAAAAGTAAAACTGACCATCACTATGTGTATTTATTTCTGTTAGCTTCTGAAAATGTTAGTGAAAATGACTGAAGGTAAGAAGAAAATAATCTTTCATAGCTCTCATTTTCTATGAATCATTTTCCTGTTTTATTTGCAGCCACTATATATACTAATTAAAATAAAGTTTCAATCATTTAAAATGTCACACAGCATGCAGCCATAAAAATGAATGAGTAAATGTCCTTTTCAGGGACATAGATGAAGCTGGAAACCATCATTCTCATCAAACTGACACAGGAACAGAAAACCAAACACTGCATGTGGGAGGTGAACAGTGAGAACACGTGGACACAGGGAGGGGAACATCACACCCCGGGCCTGCAGGGGGGTTACAGGCAAGGGGAGGGAGAGCATTAGGACAAATACGTAATGCATGCGGGGCTTAAAACCTAGATGATGGGTTGATAGATGCAGCAAACCACCATGACACATGTCTACCTATGTAACACACCTGCACGTTCTGCACATGTATCCCAGAACTTAGTTAAAAATTTAAAAAATAAATGTCACGCAGCTAAGAAATACAACCATTTAGCTTTAAAATGTCGCACAACTAAGAAATATAACTAGTTAATGACTATCCCATAATCACTGCCCCAATCACAGGTCAGTTTAAAATGCTTGCATTATCTTAATGTGCTAGTTCATTGTACTTTAATACATTATACTTTGTCTTCTGAGCCAATTTCCATAGCTCTGTGACCGTTCATCAGCCAAATAATGGCTGGTAGCTGACTAGACATTCTCTTTACCTGGGGACTCACTCACAGAAAACCATAAAGAAAAGTTACTATTAAGAACCTACGGTGAATATGAAAACAATAAATTGTAAAAATAAAAGTAATTACAGTTGAACTTTAAAAACTTAAAGTTGACTTAAAAAACATCTACTACCACCTTTTCATTTCAAAGAGTGAGAAATAAATAATCAGCAAGGTCTTGTGTGGGATCTGCACTGAAAAAAAAAAAAAGAATCAGCAAGGTCAAGTAATACATCCAAGGAAACAGACAGTGAGTGGCAGGTCTCCTAATTCAAGACAGTACTTTCAGCCACCGATATGCAATGATAGTTGCACATTAGTTGTACACAAATGCATATTAACAGTAACAGCAAGTGTGCAATTACATTATCATTCAATATCACTTTGTTCTTCAAGATGATCACTTCTAAGAGCACACAGAATCTTAGAATTTTCGAGGTGGAGTGGGGATCCTTTAATGGCCCTTCACCATACAGAGGAGGAAACTAATATCCAGAGAGGTAACACTGTTCCACTCTGTCCTTCCACAAACCTTCACTGGGCTCCTACAGTAAGGTAGATATTGGGGCTACAAAGATAAACAAGATAAGAATCACAGTTCTTAAGGAGCTCACATGGAACAAAGAGAAAACATAGTTGCAATACGACCAGGTAATTATTATGAGAGATATTAACTAAGTGGGGCAGAAAGCAGGAAATAATCAATTTCATTTGGTTATAACACTGAACACCATGCATGAAGGAAGGGGGATAGCTATTTACACTAATGCTTGGCTACAGTGTTTTATATTAAAATAGATTTTTAAAGTTCAGTTTCATCAAAACGGGTAGAGAAGTATCATTTTCTCGAGTGTCAGGCACTGTGCCTGGCATTTTATATGCATTATTTAATTCTCCAAAGGACTCTGAGAGGTCAGCACGATTACCCCCATTTCTTAAAGAAGGAACCCGCTGAGAGAAGTCTGTCCAAGTCAGGACGCATCAGAGCCATAATTTGAATACAGTTTCGCCTGGCTCACAAAATCACATTCCTTTCTTTCTGTTAAACTCTCTCTCTGCTCAGGTTCTTCTTAATTTGTTTAAATCACCCTCCCTCTTATTTGTCTCGGGTCTACACTAAGCAATACATCCTGCAATGAATTATTCTAGTCTTCAAAGGTATCACTCCTAAAATCAGGAGTCACAGTTTAAAAACCTTAACAAAAGACAAGCAAGAAAAGGTTCTTGCAATATTTCCCCTATTCAAAAAAACTCACTGGTAAGCCCTGAAACACCGACGCGGAGAACTCCTGTCGGATGCTCAGCTGTTCTACGTTTAGATCACAGCACAGCCGCCCCGCAAACGTCACCACCTGGCTCTAAAACTTCCTCCCGCACTTGAAACGTGCAGCAGGACTACGCGGTTTCTTCTGCGGTTCCCGTCCCCGTCCAAAGCCTCTTGAAAAGCAGCAGGCTGAAAGAAGCTGTGCCCCACGGAGCCAGCGAGGAGCCCGAGGTCCCAACGCGGAGCCCGGAAGCCGGCGAGGCCACGCCACGACCCGCCCGCCGCGACCCGCGCCGCTCCTCGCCGGCGAAAGCGGAGGTTTCCAGACGCCGCGCTGGGCGGGGACGGCCGCGGGCGGAAGACCAGCTCCGGGCCCCCGGAATGAAGCCCCGTCCGCGCAGCCCGCGAACGGGCCACGCCGCGGAACGAAGCCCCGCCGGGCCCCCCGCGGAAGAAGTGGCGCGAAGTCTGCGCCGAGCCCGCCCCGCCGTCTCCGGGACGCAGGCCGCGGGGTGACCGCGAACTCGCACCCACGCGGCCTTCCCTCGGCATTTAAACGGAAGCCTCACTCCGAGCCCCCGGGAGAAAAGCCCGCCGCCCCTCGCAAGCGGGTCTTCGTCGGCCGCGGCCTCGGCGGCCCCCCGCCCCGCCCCGCCCCGCCGCCGCCCCGGCTCACCTCCCCGCGCGCCGCCCGCCGCGCCCGCCCGCCCGCAGCGCCCTGCGACCAGCTGGACCAGCAGCAGCAGGCGGAGCGCGCGGGACCCCGACCCCCGCGCCGCCATCGCCCCGGGCCCGCGCCGAACGAACGCGGGCCGCCGCCTCCCGACCGCCGCGCGGCGAACGCGGACTCCTGGGGTGTGGAGCTCGGAGTGCGAGTCGTGAGAGAAAACGAGGACAGACACGGCAGAGGCGCCGCTCCGCGCCTCAGCTCCCGCCGGGACAGCAGCCGCCGTCTGGCGGCTTCGGGCGGGCTCGGGACGCCGGAGGAAACCCGCGGCGCCTGGCCCCGCCCAGAACCGCCCCGGCCCCTCCCCGTTTGCCTCTGGCCACGCCCAGTTCCCCGCCTTGTTCCTGCTGGCCCAGTCTGTTCTACCCATAGCCCCGCCTCCGATGCTCACCAGGCCTTTTCCTCGGCCCCGCCTTCGACCCAACCCCGTTTTCTCCTAGCTCCTCCTTTCCACGCCTGGCCCCGCCCCATCGCCCTGGCCCCTCCCCATTCACCTCTGGCCACGCCCAATTCCTCGCCTTGTTCCTGCTGGCCCAGTCTGTTCTACCCATAGCCCCGCCTTTTCCTCGGCCCCGCCTCCGACCTAACCCTGTTTTCTCCTGGCTCCTCCTTCCCACGCATGGCCCCGCCCCATCGCCCTGGCCCCTCCCCATTCACCTCTGGCCACGCCCAATCCCCGCCTTGTTCCTGCTGGCCCAGTCTGTTCTACCCATAGCCCCGCCTCCGATGCCCAACAGGCCTTTTCCTCGGCCCCGCCTCTGACCCAACCCCGTTTTCTCCTGGCTCCTCCTTTCCACGCCTGGCCCCGCCCCATCGCCCTAGCCCCGCCTCCAGGCCTTCCTTCGAGCAGGTGCGAACCTGGAGCAGAGCTAACCACCGGGTGACCTTGCCCAAGTCATTGCACACCTTATGACAACAACCACTCACTGATGTCTGCTCTGTGCTCAACAGCAAAAGGGGAAGCAGAGGGGCAGATTGCTCCCAGCTGACAGAAATCGTAAATAAAGTAATTCCGAGTTGTGATCAGAGCTGCGAAAGAAACAAGCGGGAGGCAGGGGCAGAATCACAGTGGCAGGGGACTTGCGCCAGGCGCCAGGCTGCAGCGCTCTCCATGGGGCCCGCTGCCCACTCAAGTCTTTCTCACCAGGAAATACCAGTGGCAGCTTGACTGCCTCCTGGGACTGTCATGCGGGCCAGGAGGTCCCCATCAGGAGACCTGCGTTGTGGACCAGCGAGGCGACCCTGGGCAAGTCACCTTCCTCTCTGGGGTTTCCAAGTCTGGAAACGAGGGACCGAGGCGGATAAACTAGAGGACTCGGGCAGGTACAGCTTTGACACCCATTCAAGCAAACCCCTCAAACGTGGGCATCGCCCTCCGTGTTGCCATCAATTAACATTTGTAAATATTAGTGACTGTATCTGCTACAGACACTTAGCAACTCTGGTGGAGATTGGTGCTGACTGCTAGAAACCCGTCTCAGATCCCTCCAGACCCTATATTTCATCCTCTTTGTCCATAATTGATTAGAAAGCTTCATTTGGCTGAAGGGATTCAGGCGGATTATCTTTAAACTTCAGTGACAGAGGGAGCCGCTGACGCCACAGAACGCTTTATGGAGTTGACATCTCTAAAACTCATTGTGAGCAGAAATTTTACTCTCACCTCCAGACTAGTAAATCTGTGAAAAACCAAATCTCGTTGCAAAGAATCTAAACAGCAAAATTCAGTGAAGAGGTTCTGTAGGTCCGACTACAGCTGGAAAAACGGAACTTACATCCAATGAAGCCAATCTGTTTAAGAGGGACTTAAAGGGGCCACAGAGAAAAGACGCACGAGATGCTAACCAGGTTACTAATTAATTCCACTCTACGCAGGAATGAAAGACAGTACCTATCATCCTTTCACTGCAAATTTATGTTTTAGTCTGAAGAATTTATGGGACTTACAGGCACGTATGCAATTCATCCTAACAGTGTTTGGATGACTTTAAAGTGTTATTCTGCTTTTACAGCTAACGGATGTGAAACAGAGGAGTTGAATAACCGCTGAAGGTCACAGTACCTGTCAGTGTCAAAACTGGAATTAAATGGTTGTTAGTGCAGCCCCTGCAAGTGTAATTGGAACTCCTAGAGTGTTATAGCAATAATAATGGAATGATGGTTATTTACATAATCTATGAAGAACACTGTTAGTTGCTGCTATTAAAGCAAAGCGTGTCATTTGTTGGGCATTTTTAAATCCAAGCAAATAATCAGAATATAACGTCTACATCTTGGACGGTTTTTCCAGGGTGATATGCCAATTACTCATGGTAGCTGGATGTGGTGCCACACCTGACTGGTAACAGGCGTCTTCACACTGCTAGGAGACATTAGCTGATCGAATGACAGTGAAAATTGCTGCGTTGCTGCAGCCACCACCTACAAAGTTCCCCTGGCGTGCGTCTATCTACCAACTGCCTGAGATTTAGCCAAAGGGACCGCTACACAGTTCTGGCATCCCAGACACCGCATTTTACTCTGAAGATTGTGGAATGTTTATCACACTTTCCCGTCTTCACTTGTCCTTCCTTCTCACCTCTCTCAATATCCAAACCCACCCTTTCTTCAAGGCTCATTTCAAATGCCACTTGCCTTCTCTTTATCTATTTCTCTGTAATTATGTTCTCTACTAAATAATGGGTTTCTCAGCCTAGTGGCTATGCTTTTTGTTGTTGTTGTTTGTTTGTTTGTTTGTTTTGTTTTGTTTTGTTTTGTTTTGGTGGTGACAGGGTTTTACTCTTGATCAGGCCGCAGCTCAAACTCAAGTGATCCTCCCTCCCTGGCCTATCAAGTAGCTGCAATTACAGGCATGCACCACTACAACCAGCTAATTTTTTTAGTTTTGTTTTTGTTTTTGTTTTTGTTTTTGAGACAGAGTCTTGCTCTGTCACCAGGCTGGAGTGCAATGGCGCAATCTCGGCTCACTGCAACCTCTGCCTCCTGGGTTCAAGCAATTCTTCTGCCTCAGCCTCCCGAGTAGCTGGGACCATAGGTGTGTGCCACCACATCCGGCTAATTTTTTTGTATTTTTAGTAGAGACGGGGTTTCACCGTGTTGGCCAGGATGGTCTCGATCTCTTGACCTCGTGATCCGCCCACCTCGGCCTCCCAAAGTGCTGGGATTACAGGCGTGAGCCACCGCGCCCAGTCTTAGTTTTAATTTTTTTCATTTGTTTTTTTCTGATAGAGACAAGGTCTCACTATGTTTCCAAGGCTTATCTCAAACTCCTGGGCTCAAGAGATCCGCCCACCTCGGGCTCCCAAAGTGCTGGGATTACTAGTATGAACCACCATACCCAGCAGGGCTATGTCTTGTTCACCTTTTAATACCCACTAGCCAATCAGGACTTCGCCATAGAAAGTAGAATTTAATAATGATCATATTAACCCTGCTAAGGATGGGGACTGTAAGAAGTTAAACACTTTTTAATATACTAGCTCGTTTAATCTCAATATTCTAGGAGTGGTACTTTTAAGACCCTTATTTTGTTTTGGACAACTCCTTCTATGTTCTCTGGGCAGGCTCCTCCTCTTCTACCCAGGCTTCACGTGTTGGAAATTCCAGAGGCTCAAATCTGGGACGCATTCTCCCATCTCCGTTAACTTCCCCCTTCGGTGATCTTATCCATTGCCCTGGCTGTAAATATCATTCATATATTGATGAAGACCAGATCCATACTAGATAGGTACCGATCTCACCTCTTAGCGCCAGTGTATTTGGCTATGTACTTTACATCATGGTCACTTAGACACGTCGCTTACGATGTCCCAAGCCATGTTATCCTCTTAACCTTCCCATCTCAATCAATGGGACCGTCTGACTAATGACTCAAGCTAGAAAACTGGGAGTCATCCTTAGTTCCATCCTCTGCTTCGCCCACCAAGTCTAATTCAACCCTACATGCTATTTACCTGGAATTATTTATTTATTTATTTTTGAGATGGAGTTTCACTCTTGTTGCCCAGGCTGGAGTGCAATGGTGCGATGTCAGCTCACTGGAACCTCCATCTTCCGGGTTCAAGCGATTCTGCTGCCACGGCCTCCCAAGTAACTGAGATTACAGGCATGTGCCACCAGCCCTGGCTAATTTTATATTTTTAATAGAGACGAGGTTTCACCATGTTGGTCAGGCTGGTCTCAAACTCCTGACCTCAGGTGATCTACCCTCCTCGACCTCCCAAAGTGCTGGGATTACAGGTGTAAGCCATCGCTCCTGGCCAGCCTTGAACTTATTTTGAATCCATCTCCTACGTCTCCTTTCCACTCCTACTTTATTCAAATGCATCTCTATCTTAGACTTCTGCCCCAGCCTCTCACTGGGTCTCCTGCCCTGCATCCTCCAACACACTCTGCAGATGGCAGCCTGAGTGATCGTGTTCAAATAGAAACAAAATCCCAAGTCCGTATCATGATTCTTAGAGGGGCTCCCCGCTACCCTCACAAACTCTGCATCAGACCCCTCCCCTTTGCCTACTACATTCCACCCTCACAGGCCCCTCCAGTCCGGGAACCACCAAGCCCAGTCCCAGCCAAGGGGCTTCACACATGCGGTTCCCTCCTCCTCCTCTGCCTTGCCTCACTCCCACTCCTCCTTCAGCACTGGGCTTATTGTCACTTCTTTTTTTTGTTTGTTTGTTTTTTGAGACGGAGTTTCGCTCTTGTTACCCAGGCTGGAGTGCAATGGCGCGATCTCGGCTCACCGCAACCTCCGCCTCCTGGGTTCAGGCAATTCTCCAGCCTCAGCCTCCTGAGTAGCTGGGATTACAGGCACGTGCCACCATGCCCAGCTAATTTTTGTATTTTTAGTAGAGATGGGGTTTCACCTTTTTGATCAGGATGGTCTCGATCTCTTGACCTCGTGATCCACCCGCCTCGGCCTCCCAAAGTGCTGGGATTACAGGCGTTTTTTTTTTTTTTTTTTTTTAGTAGAGATGAGGTTTCACCATGTTAACCACGATGGTCTCGATCTCTTGACCTCGTGATCCACCCGCCTCGGCCTCCCAAAGTGCTGGGATTACAGGCGTGAGCCACCGCACCCGGCTTTATTGTCACTTCTTGTTTGAAAACAATCTCTCTAAGTTGGGCCCTGAACTCCCTCTGCTCATTACTTTCTCTCACTGAATAAATGTTAACTAGTTTTCCCAAGATCTCAGAACTAGAGAACTAGAAAATAGTG